AACGCGTTTTTTACGATTTTTCATGAAAAATCTCGAGTAAATCGTATAGTTGGGCAGTGTTCGGTGTTTCGTTTAACCGTTGCCATTTTATACGATTTCTTTGAGTTCTTTCGAGAAAACAAACTTTACGGTTTTTATCGTGAAACTTGAACGATAGGACGGATCAAGACGAAACGAGAGACGTTTCAACCGTGGTTCAGAACACGATCGAGCCGAAGGACGTATGCCTTGAGTTGAGGACATGGGAGGTCGAGGCTCGGTACATTCAGCTTGACGTACGGCGAGCTGAACCGGGTTGGTTCAGCTCACCGTACGGCGAGATGTTCGTGAAGTGACCAGCTCGCCGTATGGCGAGCTGGCTCGATGCCACCTAGCTTGCCATACGGCGAGCTGAACCGGTTGGTTCGGCTTGTCATACGTTGAACTCGGTTCGGTCGAACCTGCTCGCGGTTTTACGGCGGATGCGGTTTTTTGCGGTTTTGCGCTTAACTCGGACAATCGTGTGATCAGCGTTTGTTTCGTTCGTTCTTCCAAGATTACGATTTCCAAGTTTTTCCGCGGATTTTCTTTGTTCGGAAATTTCTTAGAATTTTTATAAACGACTTCTCGAGTTTTATAAAACGTATATTTGTTTTTACAAAAACTTTTAGCCACTGATTCCGTCGTGACCGATTTTGACACCAACAACTGACAATATATTACCCTGAAACATGCATGCTTAGTCCACCTCCATCTTTATTGTCTCTTGATTTTTTTTTGAACTCAAAAAATCCTAGTAGACTTTGATCCACATTTTGAAGAAAAATAATCTTTCAAAACATATAGATCTCTTTTTGTTTTATAAAAACTATAGTAACATTTGAAAGAAAATAATAAGATTATTATTTAACTAAACTAAAAGAGGTTAGAGATGAATTTTAAATGATGTTTGTGAAAATAATATCCTCATCTGCTGGTTACTATTTTGCTGTGATGAATATATTATTATCATGGTTTTCAAAACTGGATCAGACCGGCCGGTCAAACCGGTTCAAACCCCGGATTTGAGAAAAACTGATAAAATTAGCGAAGTTTCGGTAAAAAAGATGATCTAGATCAATTTTAATATTTTATAATAAATATTTGACTATTAGTATTTATTTGATTTTATAGTTCATTTAATTTCTGACATCCCATCGTATTCTTCCTTTCTCTGTATCATTTTCATATTACAAGTTGGAATAGTGTTAAAAAAAAAAGAGTTCATTTCATTTTCTTAAGAAATCATGTAAGCAAATACTTCATTTGTTTTATTATAAGTGTCACTTTGCATTTGTGCACACGGACTAAAAAAAAATTGATTTTTCATAATTTCTATATAAAAACACAATTACCCATGTACATAACCATATTTCAAGCTATAGAAAAATAAATTGCATAATAAAATTAATAAATTTTCCATAGAAAACCGAAAACGACGCTTATTATGTAGCGAAAAAAATTTATACAACGACACTTAATATGAAACGAAGGGTGTATATTTTAAGATTTCATATATTATTATTATTTTGACATATTCATAAAATCTAAGACTTTAGTTGTAAAAATAAATAATTACAGCCACTTGAACAATCAACCGTTTGGTTTTTATCAATTTTAGTTTTACATAATATTCACTTGCTTACTGTATATATATTTATATTTATGCATATTGTTTTTTTAGTTAATAAAAGAGAAAAAATAATATATTATATGTAGACTTACTTGTTAAGTTTATATAATGTAAATATATAATTATATATAAATATATATAATTTTTGAAAATAGAAAATCCGGTTCGACTGTCCAAACATAGTAGGTATACTGAGTCGATGTTCGATCTGGTTTTCAAAACATTGAATATTATATAAATGGTTATAGTTTGTGTTTCAAAAATGGGTTATAATATAGACATTTGCATTCGGTTAAATCTTTTGAGTCTGATAGGGATTGAAAATCGTGGTCGATCTTGCTTTGAGTCAAGCGAGGGTTGCTATTCAGTATTTTCAGTTTTTTGGGAGGGAATATATCCTTGACTATCTTGTTGCATTTTCGTTAGTAGATAGTCTGCTGGTAGATAAAAGATTTGAATTTAAAGCCGAGCTGAATTTCTATATATATACTTACATTAGACATATCCATTTTACCCAAGCATTTTCCATATTTTCTATATAAAAACACAATTACCCATACACTTAACCATATTTCAACCAATAGAAAAATAAATTGCATAATAAAATTAATAAATTTTGCATAAAAACCAAAAGTGACACTTATTATGTAACGAAAAAAAATTTCTACAGCGACACTTAATATGAAACGAAGGGAGTATATTTTTAGATTTCATATATTATTCTTATTTTTACATATTCATAAAATATAAGACTTTAGCTGTAAAAATAAATAATTACAGCCACTTGAACAATCAATCGTTTGGTTTTTATCAATTTTAGTTTTACATAATATTCACTTGCTTACTGTATGTATATTTATACTTATGTGTATTATTTTTTTGTAGTTAATAAAAGAGAAAAAATAATAAATTATATGTAGACTTACTTGTTAAGTCTAAATAAGGTAAATATATAATTATATATATATAATTTTTGAAAATAGAAAATCCGGTTTGCCTGTACAAACATAGTAGGTATACTGAGTTGATGTTCGATCTGGTTTTCAAAACATTGAATATTATATAAATGGTTATAGTTTGTGTTTCAAAAAATAGTTATAGTATAGACATTTGCATTCGGTTAATTCTTTTGAGTCTGATAGGGATTGAAAATCGTGGCCGATCTTGCTTTGAGTCAAGCGTGGGTTATTATTCAGTATTTTCAGTTTTTTGGGAGGAAATATATCCTTGACTATCTTGTTGCATTTTCGTAAGTAGATAGTCTGTTGATAGATAAAAGATTTGGAATTTAAAGCCGAGCTGAATTTCTATATATACTTACATTAGACATATCCATTACCCAAGAATTTTCCATATTTTCTATATAAAAACACAATCACCCATACACTTAACCTTATTTCAACCAATAGAAAAATAAATTGCATAATAAAATTAATAAATTTTGCATAGAAAACCGAAAAACACTTATTATGTAACAAAAAAAAAATTCTACAGCGACACTTAATATGAAACGGAGGGAGTATATTTTTAAATTTCATATATTATTCTTATTTTGACATATTCATAAAATTTAAGACTTTAGTTGTAAAAATAAATAGTTACAGCCATTTGAACAATCAACCCTTTGGTTTTTATCAATTATAGTTTTACATAATATTCACTTGCTTACTGTATATATGTTTATTTTTATGCGTATTTTTTTTTAGTTAATAAAAGAGAAAAAAATAATATATTATATGTAGACTTACTTGTTAAGTCTATATAATGTAAATATATAATTATATATATATATATATATATATATATATATATATATATATAATTTTGCAAATAGAAAATCCAGTTCGACTGTCCAAACATAGTAGGTATACTGAGTCGATATTCGATTTGGTTTTCAAAACATTGAATATTATAAATGGTTATAGTTTTTGGTTTCAAAAAAATGGTTATAGTATAGACATTTGCATTCGGTTAAATCTTTTGAGTCTGATAGGGATTGAAAATCGTGGTCGATCTTGCTTTGAGTCAAGCTTGGGTTATTATTCAGTATTTTCAGTTTTTTGGGAGGGAATATATCCTTGACTATCTTGTTGCATTTTCGTTAGTAGATAGTCTGTTGGTAGATAAAAGATTTGGAATTTAAAGCCGAGCTGAATTTCTATATATACACTTACATTATTTATATCCATTTTACCCAAGCATTTTCAAGTATTGACTAATCAATTATTGACACACTAAAATGCTATTATATAATACATGTAATATATTCATATCGTTACAAAATTATTTGTAGTGTTTGGGTTTTATATGCAAGGTTTTGAGTTTGTTTTCTTTTTCTGACTGAAGGTTTTGAGTTTGTTAGATAGTGTTTAGAGTTCATGCCGCTAGGCACTAGACCAATGAACCGGTGCAATATATACCTTTTTGTGGACAAGAAACCGGTGCAATATTAAGTATAAAATTTGATAGACTAAAACAAACACTTTCTGTATATGCTACTCATGTGATAGATGGAAGCAAATATTTTTCTTATTATAAATTGACACATGCATATGTTATTTACACCAAAATATACTCATAAATAGAATATGTAACATTAATAAATAACCTTACTGTTAATATTTATTCACATTATAGTAACCGACTAACCGTTGTGAAGAATATATAACGTAAGTAATAATACAATTATTATATTGTAGTTAGCCAAATAAACTATTTATATTCACGAATGTCACAATACAAATGAACCACAAATAATTTTTCAAACCTATCTTATAAACTGGAGGTTAATCGAGGACCACAAATAATTAACCCAAATAATTTTGTGGAGTAGATTAGAAAAAAATTCTGTTTAGTTTATATAATTAATACAAATATTAAATTTATTGATAATGGTATAGTTGTGATAAAGTTAGAAAGTTAAAAAATATTGGAAAAATGTACTTTCGTTTTAATGAGATTGATAAAATAATGAACAAGATAAATGAAATTAGTGTCTAACAGATCATCTATCTTCTATAATAATAAAGTTTAGATATTTGCACCCACAGTCGTCCACGTCACTTTTTTTGAGGTTGGGGTTTTACGACACGTGTCAAGCTTGGATTGGCCGTAATTTGTTTATCTTGTGTGTTGAATCGTTCCTTCTTTCTCCGCCGTCGCGATATTGGTCATACCTTAAGGGTTTCGATTCAGTAGCTTCATCTTCTTCTTACCGATCAAGAAATCTACCACTTACAGATTCATCATCTTGTGTTGGCTCTACGCTCCGTAACCTCCTTCGTGCGGTTGTACCTAACGCAGGGCCAAGTTTGTTTTTCCCGGGAGTAAGAAGGCGTGGGAAGGTTTCATGACGGCTTCAGACGCTGATCTGATTGTTGTGCATCAGATTTGGGCTAAGGTTGATCCTTACACCGAGAACGAAGCGTTTAAATGCAGTAACGCTGATGTTTTCAAGTGGAAACATCTGGGGAATATTCTTGCTGAGAAGTTTGGGTTCGAGGAGAATGTGGGGTATGTGGAGATGATGAAAGGGAAATAGAGGGTTTGGGAGGCGATGGTGAAGGAGAATCAGTTGCAGGAGAAGCAGCTTGATGAGGTTGGTGTGTGATGTTTGCTGATGTTGGGCTTGGTGTTGAAGGAATGGTTGATAGTATGAACAAGAGCAAAGAGTATGGCTTTCTTGGTTTCAGGAACTCCAACAACTCTTTTATCTCTTGGATTGATAATGATGGGTAGGTTAGCGATAACTGGTTCGTCCAAAGCTAACGGTTTTGAAAACAAAGAAACCGATGAGAAGAGAATAGCTGCCGAGGCTACTCGCTAAGGAAGTTACTTATGTCACATTCTCTTCTAAAGAAGAAGCTGTGAAAGCTTTATGGGAACTAAACGGAAAGGTATGAAATCTCTTCTTTATTGTTTTAAAGTCTACCAACCGTGTTGTTCGTAACTTCAGTATCTTTCACACAATAATAATATTTTTAATATATAGCTTTCTCATGTTATGTAGGGAATGTATATGATGAATATTTGTCTATTCCCTGTTCGAGCACTGCTGGTTATGTTGCGTAATCTTGATGAATTTTGTTATTTTGATAATAGTTCGTACACGGGCGGGTTGTGATCCTTGACACAACAAAAGCTATAAAACATAATAGACCCTTCTTTCAAATCAAAGACCCCAACACCATCCTCGCTCTATCTGCAGTCTCTGTTCTTGGTTAGGATTCATCGATGATGTTTAAGATTTGTTAACCTTAAGAGCGAGAAGATTGCAAAGTGTATTGTTGGGGTCAAAATCGGTACGACGGAATTAATAGCCAAAACTCCCCGCGAAAATACAAAAGGAATAGTTTTATAAAACTCGAGGAGTCGTTTTATAAAACTCGAAAAGCCGTTTTATAAAACCCGCAGACCGTTTTATAAAATCCGAAGATCGTTTTATAAAACCCGCAGACCGTTTTATAAAATCCGAAGATCGTTTTATAAAACCCGAAGATCGTTTTATGAAACTCGAGAATCGTTTTATAAAACCCGAGAATCGTTTTATAAAACTCGAGAATCGTTTTATAAAACTCGAGAATCGTTTTATAAAACTCGAGAAGCCGTTTTATAAAACTTGAAAAGCCGTTTTATAAAACTCGAAGAATCGTTTTACGAAACCGCAAAAAACCGAAATAGCCGTAAAACGCGAACTAGTCACGACTAGTTCTCCCATGGGCGAACTAAGCCAAGCCGGCTTAGTTCGCCAATGGGCGAACTAGGAGACACTCGACTAGTTCGCCCATCGGCGAACTAGAAACTTCCTGGACGTCCCGAGCCTCGTTCTCCCCCATTCCCGATTTGAAACTTACGTCTCGTAACGACAAATTCGTCCATCACGAGGAACAGGATCTCCAAGGGGCGCATAACTACGCCATCAACTCCGGTTCGGAGCAAGGGTGAACTACGGGAAACACGTGGACGAGAAATTCGAATTACGACGAGAATTCTTTCTGCGACCTCCACCAAACCCGCGGGCATTCCACCGTGAACTGCAAAGTTCTCGGCGCCAGACTTGCCGTAAAATTGGTGGCGGGAGAACTTTCCGAGATATCTAGCGTAAAAGATCTCATCCGCGATTCGGATCGCCCTCCGAAGAACGACAAGAACGCGCGAGCGGAAACTCCACCTCAGGGAAACAAGTCAGGCGAAAAGCGCGGACGAAGACAAGACGAGAGGGGTAACGACGCTAACCGCCGAAAAATCAACATGATTATTTGCGAATCGCAATACTACAACGACACCGTCTCGTCTATAAAATCCTACCAACGCAAAGCTGAAACCGGCTCGAGTTGGAAGGTGCCGACGGATGACCCTCCGAAAGGAATGATTTCATTCAGCGACGCTGAAACCGGCGGAATCGATCAATCTCACGCCGATCCTCTTGTCATCGACCTAGTAATCGGCGATTTAGAAGTCGCTCGGGTCTTGGTCGATACCGGGAGTACTGTCAACGTGATCTTCCGCAATACGCTAGTACGCATGGGGATCGATCTCTCGGAAGTCGAGCCGATTCCAAAACCGTTGACTAGTTTCTCCAGCGAAACGTCAATGACCCTGGGATCAATCCGACTACCGGTCGCCGCAAAAGAAGTGACGAAAATCGTTAATTTCGCGGTAGTCGATTTCCCAGCTATCTACAACGTGATTATGGGCACGCCTTGGATAAATTCCATGAAGGCGGTTCTGTCCACGTATCACTTAGGCATCAAATTCCCGACGCCTACGGGAGTCTCAGTAATTTGGGGATGCCAAAGACAATCGCGATCTTGTTTCGTGGCCGAACACAAGCTGAGGCAATTGGCGGTCGCGATCGTGAAACCAAAACGGGCAAAGGTCACGCCACCGCCCGCAGAAGATGACCCAAGGCGAGCAACGGCCGAGAAACCAGAAGTTTCCGCACCCATCGCTTCCATCCGACTAGAGGAGACAATTCCGGACAAAGACATCGATCCCGCGACTGAAGCGATCGAGAAGTCTGCGACAGCCGAGTAAGCACACTCGCGCAAACAATCAGAACTACGAGATGGCTTGATTTCCGAAAGGAATACGTAGGCAGCTCGCCTAAAGACGAGTTCAGCTATCCCCTCTTCCAAAACGGGGGGGGGGGGGAGTGGGTGAGTATACGAGTATTCGTATACTCCCAAAATTTTTTACAAAATTTCTTTTAGCTTTGTAATCGATAATTTTCAAAATTTTTAATAAAGACAAAGTTAGAATATCTCTGCTACTATCGCAAAACGCAAATCCGGAAAATCGCTTCCGCCGTAACAACTACTTAATCGTTTTTATAAAATTCGCATATCAAAATATTTTCGGAAAGAACTGGCGAGACGTCGCCTAAACTCTCAAAGAATAATATTTATCCAAAGTCCGTCCGCGACTATAAAAACACGAACGCTCAGCGATTGGCCCCGTCGAGCACGCTAGCCGTCCTAAACAAACGCACCGACCTATCGGTCCGCATACATCTGACGAGGATAAAATAGCGCGCTATAAAAGAAATCCAAATTTTTGGTCAGCACTTCCGGGCAACTTAGAAATTGTTCCCGGTGAGATGCTCGGTTCCAACCAGACGAATCGTATAAGCCGAGAACTTACGCGGATTCTAAATCGGTATGGAATCAGGTTAAAATCGCAACGGGCAAAACGAAAGCCGACAAGTCATCGCACAGCCCCAATCCGAAAGTAAACCTAGGTCTTGCCCTAAACCTAGCACACTGGTCGCTAACGTCTCAAGGCATGAATCGAGATCCTAAAGGCATGTCTCTTCGCCCACATCTAAACACTCGCGAAAATCGAAATCTCCCGAGTTAACGAATCAGACAATTTACACCAAAGAGTTAGATACGAGATGATAACTCGTATTCTTCCCTCTACATCTAATACAAAACACGAATTTCATACTTAGAAAGTATTTTTATTAAGAGAGTCGTCAAATACACACCGCCCAGCTGTAGGGATTCAAAGCCACAAACGGCCAGTCCCGGAAAAACAACAACAGAATCGAAAACTAATAACATCACACATTGAAGTCATCAAACGCAGGCTGATCGACTTCACCATCCACGTCTGAAATCCCAGGACTGACTTCAACCGAATCCGGCGACACCACGATGGGATTCCATTGATCCCACATCGCACAGCCCCAATCCGAAAGTAAACCTAGGTCTTGATGAATTTTGTTATTTTGATAATAGTTCGAACACGGGCGGGTTGTGATCCTTGACACAACAAAAGATATAAAACATAATAGACCCTTCTTGCAAATCAAAGACCCCAACACCATCCTCGCTCTATCTGCAGTCTCTGTTCTTGGTTAGGATTCATCGATGATGTTTAAGATTTGTTAACCTTAAGAGCGAGAAAATTGCAGAGTGTATTGTTGGGGTCAAAATCGGTACGACGGAATTAATAGCCAAAACTCCCCGCGAAAATACAAAATGAATAGTTTTATAAAACCCGAGGAGTCGTTTTATAAAACTCGAAAATCCGTTTTATAAAACCCGCAGACCGTTTTATAAAATCCGAAGATCGTTTTATAAAACCCGCAGACCATTTTATAAAATCCGAAGATCGTTTTATAAAACCCGAAGATCGTTTTATGAAACTCGAGAATCGTTTTATAAAACCCGAGAATCGTTTTATAAAACTCGAGAATCGTTTTATAAAACTCGAGAAGCCGTTTTATAAAACTCGAAAAGCCGTTTTATAAAACTCGAAGAATCGTTTTACGAAACCGCAAAAAACCGAAATAGCCGTAAAACGCGAACTAGTCACGACTTGTTCGCCCATGGGCGAACTAGGAGACACTCGACTAGTTCGCCCATCGGCGAACTAAGCCGGCCCGGCTTAGTTCGCCGATGGGCGAACTAGAAACTTCCTGGACGTCCCGAGCCTCGTTCTCCCGCATTCCCGATTTGAAACTTATGTCTTTCTACACGGTCACATTCTGAACCACGGCCGAAACATCTCCCTTTCCATCTCGATCTGACCTATCGTTCGAGTTTTACGATAAAAACCGTAAAACTTCGCTTACTCGATAAAGAACTCGAATAAATCGTATAAAACGGCAACGGTTAAACGAAACACCGAACATTTCCTAAACTATATGATTTATTCGAGATTTCTCGTTGAAATCATAAAAAACGCGTTTTTAATAAAAAAACATCGAGTAAATCGTAAAAAACGTATTTTTAATATAAAGTCGAGTAAATCGTAAAACCTTACGATTAACTCGAGGAATTTATTAAAAACGATGTCAGATCAGGAAACGATTCCGTACAAAGTCGAAAAACTTATCGCAAAACAGTCGGATCTATCTTACCCCGAAGCCGCAACATGTCAAACGAAGAAACGATGACTGGTGACAACCAAACTCGCGACGAACGCGATAACGTTGAAACAACTCCACCACAAGAAGCGTCTGCGGCCAACGCTATAAACGCTAACGCCGAGACCCTCGAGAAGATGCTCTCCGAGTTTAACAAAAAATCGGAA